ATCAAAATCTATTGATTTTCTTACAGGGACACCTGGATAGCTCAGTTGGTTAAGCATCTGCCTTCAGCTCAGGTCATGATTCCAGGGTCCTGGGATCGAGCCCCACATCGGGCTCCCTGTTCAGCGGGAAGCCTGCTTCTCCCTCTCCATCTGCTGCTCTCTCTCACTCACTCTCTGTGTCAAATAAATAAATAAAATCTTTCCCAAAAAAAAGATGTTCATACAGGTTTTTGTGTGGACATATGTTTTCATTTACCCTTGAGTAGATACCTAGTTGTGAGATTGCTCGGTCATATGGAAAGTGCATGTTTAACTTTATAAGAAGCTGATAAAATGTTTTCCAAAGCGTGAGAGTTCTGCTTTTTTCACATTTTCACCAGCATTTTGTATTATCCTTTAAAAAATTATTCAATCAGGGCGCCTGGGTGGCTCAGTTGTTAAGCATCTGCCTTCGGCTCAGGTCATGATCCCAGGGTCCTGGGATCGAGCCCCACATCGGGCTCCCTGTTCAGCGGGAAGCCTGCTTCTCCCTCTCCCACTCCCCCTGCTTGTGTTCCCTCTCTTGCTGCATCTCTCTCTGTCAAATAAATAAATAAAATCTTAAAAAAAAATTATTCAGTCATTTTAGTAGGTGTGTTAGTTTCTTATTGCTGCTGTAACAAACTGCCACAAATTCAGGGGCTTAAAACATGCATTTATTCCCTTGCAATTCTGGAGGCCAGAGGTCCAAAATCAATTTCACTGAGCCCAAGTCAACATGACAGCATGGCTGCTTCCTCCTGGGGCTCTAAGGGAGAATCCCTTTCCTTGCCTTTTCCAGCTTGTGGTAGGTACCCACATTCCTTGGCTTACAGACTCTTTCCTCCATCTTCAAAGGCAGCAGTTTGGCATCTTCAGTTCTTTTTTTCTGTCTCCCTGCTTCCATCACCATATAACCTCCATTCTGACTCCCTGCCCACCTTTTGTAAGGACCAATGTGATTATGTCAAGCACACCTAGATAATCCAGGATAACTGCCCCATCTCAGAGTCCTTAACTTGATCACATGGGCATGGTCCCTTCTGCCATATAAGGTAACAGTCACACATCCTGGGGATTAAAAATGGACGTATTTGAGGGGCCATTGTTCCCTCTACTGTAGTAGGTATGTAGTGGTATCTCCCTATAGTCTGAATTTGCATTTCCCTAATGACTAATGATGTTGTGCAACATTTTCTGAGCTTAATTGCCATTCTTATAACTTCTTAGTGAAGTGTCTGATCAAATCTTTTGCCCATTTAAAAAATTAGGCTGTTTGGTATAGTACAACAGAGTTTTTTGAAAGTTCTTTATATATTCTAGGTACAAAACTATCAGATATATGCTTTTCAAATGTTTCTCCCCACCTGTGTCTTGTCTTTTCATGCTCCTAAAACTGTCACTTGATGAGTAGAAACTTTTCATTTTGATGAAGTCCTATATGTTGCTTTGCAGGGACCTGGTAAGGCAACATCATGGAAGTACAGATTCCCACATATGCATAATCCAAAATAAAATACAGTAAGCTAGATTTCTAAATTTTGGTTCTAAGTCTCCTTGTTGATACTGGTGGATAAGCAGGCAGTAACACTACTCCAAGAGATGCAGACAGCAAAAAACGTACTAGACAGTTTGGAAGGTGAGCTGCCAACAGCTAAAGTGGCGATTCCATCCTTGGCCAGTGTCTCTCTGTGGTCCAGACCACTAGTGCATTAGGTTCTGGTAGAAAAGCCCTCCTTTTGGGGGCTGTCTTCATTCTCCCCAAGATACTCAAAGCTGAGCCAGCATTACCTCCCAATGTGTCAGGTCCAAGACTCCAAATACTGATGGCCCAGTGGGCTAGAAGGTGCAGGCAGTGCTGGTGAGCGGGCACTCAGACTCTGGGGAATGAGGCAGCTTGGTGCAAGCCCCGCTCTCCTCCCCACTAGCGCAGCCCAGGGCCCTGGGTCCACATTCCTACACAGAACGGGTTGATGCCGAGGCTCAGGACACGCTAGATGTGTAGGGAAGGAAGAAATATCCAGAGCTGGGTGATGGAGAACAGGGCTGCAGGTCTCTCTCCACTACACTGATTGGGACCTGTAGCCACGCAACAATCTTATTAAAAATTAAAAAAATGTTACTTCAAAACTTTTATAATGTGATCACATGACGAAAGCTTTTGCAGCAGATAAAATCTTGCATTTTAAGACAAATATCCTTTTATTTCTGTTAAGCTGAATATACAATTATTGTTCCCCAGGTGACCAACTTTTGTGTACTACAGTATAATTTCATGTTAGCAAAACAAACTGAAAAGTTGAAAAGACAACTTTGTGAAGATCTAATTACAAAAATAAAACAATTTATATTTAAAAAAGAATGTTGACTTAAAAGAATATAGTTTAAGATTACTCTGCAGCTGGTTAGGAAGTCATATACCCTGTTTCCATTTGCCTACTGGTCTCTATTAAATACTTAATATACATGAAATTTACATCTGAAGTCAATTGGTATCTGTGTCATCCCCCCGAAAAAGACAAGAACCTTAGCCTGTCATCATACCCTCTCCACCATTCCCCTTTGTTATCATCTGTGTTTTTTTTTTTTTTTTTTAAGATTTTATTTATTTATTTGACAGAGAGAGACACAGCGAGAGAGGGAACACAAGCAGGGGGAGTGGGACGGGGGAAGCAGGCTTCCTGTGGAGCAGGGAGCCCAATGCAGGGCTCGATCCCAGGACCCTGAGATCATGACCTGAGCCGAAGGCAGACGCTTAACAACTGAGCCACCCAGGCGCCCCATCATCTGTGTTTTTAATCCTATTATCTTCACAATATGCTCAAGAATCATTTTGAACCCCGATGTTTTACTAATGTACTTACTACATTCTCCTATAATCCACACAAGTTATACTTTCTTTGATTTTTTTCTTTTTTGAGAAAGAGAGAGAATGAGAGCGTGCAAGCGTGGAGGAGGGGTAGAGAGGAGAGAGAATCCCAAGCAGGCTCCATGCCCAGTGTAGAGACTAACATGGGGCTTGACCTCACAACCCAGAGATCATAACCTGAGCCGAAATCAAGAGTCAGACATTCAACTGACTTGAGCCACCCAGGCGCCCCTCTTTGATTTTTTTAATGGATTATATTTATCATTAATTCAATCAGAGACATTTTAGGGATTACAATCTATGCAAATACTTCCATCTTCCAAATGCCTTTACTTCACTCACAATTGAATGCTAGATTAAAAGGTTATAGAATTACAAGTCCTAAGTCATTTTACTTTAGAAATCTGAGACTATTGCTCCATGCTGTCTTCGAGAATCCAGTGCTGCTGCTGAGAGTCTGATATCAGCCTCTTTGCTTTGCCTGGAATAGTGGGCATTCTTGATGACCCAATATCCATTCAACCCCCTCTTCCTATTTCCCAACAGAATTTGATTTTGTATCCATGTCCACATTGCACCCAACTCCTGAGCAGCAGAGAGGAGGGAAGGAAGAAACTTGTTTTTTTGATGACCTCACTGAACTACTCATTCTGAGGGAGCTAGAGTCCGACCCAAGAATTTCTCATTCTGCCTTTATCATTTAAGACAATTGAAGCAGTCCCATCTTCTATAATAGCAAGGGACACATAGGTAATCTTTTATTTCATTCTTATATCCTGGTAGCTCCTAGGATTTTCTGTTTATCCTTAAGAGTTCTGAAATTTCATCCAGGATATATTTTTTGTAGGCCTCCCGTGGCCCAACCCCATCATTATGTTCAACACCTTATATTCTATTTAATCTGAAGACCCAAGCCTTCTTCAGCTCGAATGTTTCCATAGCTTTATCTGTAATCTATTTGTAATTTTTCTTCCTCTTCATTTCCTGGTTTCTTCTTCTGAATCTATTAGATGGATTTTGGACCTCAGGGCACACTGCTGCATGCCTTCCAAGATTTTCTCTCAATTTCTGGGGGTTTCATGGTATTTTCTAGAGCTGTAGGGGATCTATTCCTTTGAAAATTAAATATGTACGTGTTTTTGTCATTTTAAGGAATATTAAGAGAAAAAAGGAGGCAATCATGTGTACTCAGTCTGTCACTTTATTTATACTTTGTAAATCTCAATGTTATGTTGTTTTGCCAGTAACAGTTCACAAGTGTTACTTCTTTATTTTGTATTGCTATTATTTTTATCGCGGTAAAAGTCACATAACACAAAATTTACCATTTTGGCCATTTTTAAGTGCACAGTTCAGGAGTACTAAGTTCATTCACGTTGTTCTACAACCATCACACCCATTCATTTCCAGAACTTTTTCATCCAAACTTTTTCAGTTTGGATACTGAAACTCTATACCCATTAAACAATAAATTCTCATTCCCCTCTTCCCCAAACCCCTGGTAACCATTTTTCTACTTTGTCTATGAATCTGACTATTCTAAATACCTCATATAAGTGGAATCACACAATATTTGTCCGCTTTGAGTCTGCCTTATTTTACTTGGCATGTCTTCAAGATCCATCCATGTTGGAGCATGTGTCCGAATTTCTTTCCTTTATACGACTGAATGATTTTCCATTGTACGCACACACCACATTATGTTTATCCACTCATCTGTCCAATGACACTGGCTTGTTTCCATCTTTTGGCTACTGTAAATAATGCTACTCTTAACGTTGTACAAATACCAGTTTAAGTCATCGCTTTCAATCCCATTGGGAATATACCCAGAAGAGGAATTGCTGAATCAAGAACGACCAGCAGCGAGTGGCGAATTTTCCATATTTTTAAATAGATACTCACTTTTCCCAAAAAGGGTGCTCCACAGGACAAGTGGTGAGCGAGGCAGAAAGACGAGGCTTCAGCCTTCTTGGGCTCCCGGCAAGATGGCGTTCTCTAGCCTTACCGCTATTGGCCCTTCTCGGACACCGTAGGCCGCCGTCCCCCGACGACGTCTGGGAAATAGAGTTCGAAAGGAAAAGTGCGGCGGTTCGGCCGAGGGACCCGAATACCTCTCGTGCGCAGACGCAGTTGCGCCCGGCGGCCTAACGGTGGCGGCGAAAAATGTCCCCAGGCTAGGTATCCTGCTTGTCTCCAGTGCGGTCCGCCGCTTGGCGTCTCCGTCGCGGCGGGCACAGGTACAGGCCCCCGGTGAGAGCGGGCCCAGGGTGTGCAGCTCCTGCGGCGGGGCCAGGGCAGAAGGCCGGCCGCCGCGCGAATCCCAGTTGCGGGCGTCGGAGCGGCGGCTGCGGCCTCGGCAGGTGAAGGCGGTCCGGGGAGGGGGCGTTGCCCCGGGAGCTCTCCGCTCCCGCGGTCCCGCAGCCCCGGAAATCGGAGCTGTCACCGCCTGAGCCCCGGGCGCCAGCCTCGGGCGGGGCTCCTGGAGCAGCGGCCCCAGAACTGAGATTGCAGGGAGCTCTGCCTTGTTGGAGGGTTCATGCACCCTGGGGCAGTTTTTGGCTGGTAGCGTTTGTGGGTCTCCCCCCACCCCCACCTCGCCCCGAGTTTCAACTTTATTTTATTGTGTATTAGTTTTTGCTATCCTTGCTATATTGAGCTTGTGTGGCCCTGTTCTCCCAGAGTGAGTGAATCCTAGAGTGATTTGACTATTCCTTTTTTTTTTTTGATTAATTTCGTCCTTTTGCTGAGTTACTTCCCTTTTCTCCAAATTTTAAATTCATCTTTAGCCAATGATGCTCTTTCTTTTGAGCCTTGTGGGGTTTTTTTTTTTGGAGCAGGGAGAGGATGGGTAATGTTTTTGTTTATATTAAGGAGATTTGATAACTCTTTCTTCATAAAGGAAGCACCATTTCCAAGGGGAAGAGAAGACTAATTTTTGGTTGGCTCTTCCTGAAAAGGACACCAATTTCCTTCGAATGTTATGTGAAGAATTATTATAATTATCGTATTATTATACTTTGTTGTCATATGTTATATCTAATTATTTACTATGTTAGGTACAATATAATTATATATAGCACAAAATACTTAAGTATAGATGTGCGGAATATTTATGTTATTTCTCTTTCATTGAGCATCTCTGTGAGCACGGCCTGACGGCCCTTTACTCTGTTAATGTACATCAGTTGGTTCTAATTCCTTAGTCTGATTTATCTTTATTCAGAAACCACTGGCTGAAAGGTAGCAGGCCAGTGACTGGAAGTATGCTTGCTGCCCACTCCTGGTTTGGGTGGCCATGCCCATGGCCCCTCTAACTCAGGGATGCCTGGGCTCCCAGTTTCCCTCTGGCTTCCATCTGCAGGCGGCTCAGCGTGTGGAGCTCTCTAATTTAGTCAGGCCTCATGAGGGTGGGAGTACAGACAGGATGGACAGACAGACTGCTCACAGTTTCTCTCTCCATTTCAGGTGCCTTCTCCAGGAGGGAGAAATGGCCACAAGGTTGCTGCCAGCCCAAGCTCAGGTGAGTGAAGGCTTCTTTCTTCACCTGCCTTCCCGGTTCAGAGATCGTGAACACACTGACGCCATTGTTGAGCTTTACGAGGCAGTGAAGCCCATGGAGGGACCTGAGGGCCTGGTAGGGTAACTCAGGAAAGAAGCTGCTTCTCTCTCTCTCTCTCTCTCTCTTTTTAATATTTTTTATTATGTTCAGCATGTAGTACATCATTAGTTTTCAATGTAGTATTCAAGGGTTCGTTAGTTGTGATTCTAGCTCTTTTCTTCAAGCATGTGAAGAAATCCAAGTAGTTCTGGATTAGGTCCTGGATTAGGGTTCATTTAGCACAGTCCCCTCCAGTTCCATCCATGTTGATGCAAATGGTGGGTATTCATCCTTTCTAATGGTTGAGTAATAATCCATTGTATATATGGACCACATCAAGCTGTTTCCGTAGTGCTTGGGGCTAGTCTCACTGGGAATTCCCCACCTAACAGCTAAGTACTTGTTGATTAGGAATTGAATGTCCCCCCTCCCCAGCCCTGTGCTAGAGCCACACCCAGGGCTCTGTGAGGGATCTAGGTATGTTTTTTTCCCTGTGAAGGTTGGAAACTTGGGGGAATCAGGTAATTCTGTCTGTAACATTAGGAATTCAAAGAGAAAATGTATGGTCTTTACCCTCAAGGAATTGAGGACCAGTCAACTAGAGTAGTACCTGATAGGAGTCCAGGTGATTGTCTAGGAAGATCCAAGAAAGAAGACCTCTGAATCAGCAAGTGTTATCAGAGGTACTTCTAGTATAGTTGACTCTTGAACAATGCAGGGTTTCAGTGTTGCCGGGTGAACTGGGGAGGCCCTGGGGCCTCGACCAAGCCTGTCCTGAAGGAGTTGCTGAAGGTTCTTGGTCTTGTCTCAAGAAAGAATTCAAGGACGGACACACAACACAGCAGATGAGTGACACAGCAGGGAAGTTTATTAAAGCAAAAATTATACTCTCAAGATAGAGCAGATGAGCTTGAGAGAAAGAGAGAGAGAGCGAGCTTTGTGCCCTGGGGTTTGAGTTGCTATCTTTTATTGACGGTTGTTAACTAGGGGGTGCAATATTCTGGAGGGGCAGTTTCACTTTCCATTTGCCTGAGTTAAGAGATAAACTGGGAAGAAGAGCTTAAGGAAAAATGTGGAACAAAGGTCAGTGAGTATAAGCAGGTGGGCAGTAAAGGTCAGGTCTTGGGGTCTAGCTGGTGACAGTATTACAAGCAGAAGAAGGGTAAGTACAGCACAATAAGATGTTTTGAGAGGGAGAGACCACATTCACATAATTTTGCTATAGTATATTGTCATAATCGTTCTATTATTAGTTGTTAATCTCTTACTGTGCCTGATTTATAAATTAAACTTTATTATAGGATTGTATTTATAGGAAAAAACAGTTTATATAGGGTACGGTACTCCCCAAGTTTTAGGCATCCTCTGGGGGGGGGGGTCTTAGAACATATCCCCTTGCAGAAGTGGGAACAACTGTATGTACATTTGGAAAGGACAGAGACTCGCCTGGAGATGCTTGCAACCTTGTGTGACGACAGGCGACATCCCCAAGGGGATGGTCCCAGGTGAGCAGGAGTGGGTTTCCGTTGCAGGAGTCTGTGACATTCAGGGACGTGGCCGTGTTCTTCAGCCAGGATGAGTGGCTGCGCCTGGACTCCGCGCAGAGAACCCTGTACCGGGAGGTGATGCTGGAGAACTACGGCACCCTCGTCTCGCTGGGTAAGGACCTTTCCTCATGATGGAGAGTCTGCCGGGGGAGCATTGTGGGGCCCTCTTTGAGGAGGACCCGCAGGTGGGCTCACAGGGTGGCAGTTGCTCCCCCCGTCTACTGCCAAGAAAGGCCTTGGATTGGTAGAGTTGGTGATGGGCAGCCTTTGTGTGCTTTTACTGTTCTTTGTCCCCAAACTCTGTCCCTCTCTCATGAGAGGTTCCAGTTTGGAGACGTGCACAACCAGCACCCTGACTTTCTTCCTGAGACCACCTCTGGCCATCCTCTAGGAGCCTGACCCCTCTAATGTCTGCACAGAGGACTCATTCTCTTCTTCTTGTTCACCAACAGGAATCCTGTTTTCCAAACCAAAGGTCATCTTCCAGTTACAGCAAGGGGAAGACCCCTGGATGGTGGAAAATGGAGTTTCTCAAGGCCCATGTGTAGGTGAGTGACAATGATTGGGAAGTGGACAGAGCATTTTCTCACTGCCTGGGTGCTGCTGATCAGGAGATGTTGAGCAGGGCCTGGGGAAGGCTGAGAAGGGCATATCCTCTCTCTCTACCTTTCTGAGTCCTTGATGCGGCAGGTTCAGAGGGAGAGTTGAATTCTCCCAAGAAAGGCCCACTTGTCTCCGTTGTCCTTTGTAATGTGAATGCAGAAAATGTGACACCGTATATAATGCGTAAAGGTTTGTGAGTCATGTCTTCCCCTGTTTTTCTGGACTGATTATTTTCCTTTTTTTAAAAAAAAATTATTTAAATTCAATTAGGCAACATATAGTACGTCATTAGTTTCAGATGTCATATTTCATCAGTTGCATATAACACCCAGTGCTCATCACGTCACATGCCCTCCTTACTGCCCATCACCCAATTATCCCATCCCCCCACCCTTCTCCCCTCCAGCAACCCTCAGTTTGTTTCCTATAGCTAGGAGTCTCTCATGGTTTTTCTCCCTCTCTGAGGACTTCCCATTCCTTTTCTGGACTGATTATTTTCTTAAATTATCTTCCCTTTGTGGTTTGAACAAACCTTCTATCCCTACAGTACATCCCTCATTGTTCCAGCTTGGGTTTTTATTTGACTTTTTTGGTCTGCAACTTATTACATATGGTTCAGCTAACAAGAAAACGCACATGTGTGTGCACTTACATACTACACAAGAGCGAGAAAGCAGGGGTGGCAACATGGTGATAAATAGAATTTATGCAGAAGGTTTGCAGATATTCAACATGGCATTCTCCTAAATCTTTTGTGTGAAAATACTCAAAATATTATGTTCCAGACCCTGGCTGCTAGGACGTATCTCTCAATCTCTAAACCTCCTCTGGGTTGCTGGGTCCATAAGCTCTCATTTGCTGTTCGGCTTTGTCTTTGTTTTTTTTTGTTGTTGTTGTTGTCATCTCTGGGTTTTTTTTTTTTTTTTTTGGTCTTTGTTTGCTTTTGTTCTGTTTTGTCTTTGAGACACCAGAGGGTGGCTCTCTTCCTTTGAGTTTTGCTACTTATCCAGCATTTATTTCTCTCAATGGCAGGACACAGGCTTTCTGGGTCAGCTCAATCCTGTGTTTCCATTCATGAGCTTTGTCTTCAGATTTTCCCCTTTGTTTTGACTAGAGTGTTTTCTTGAATAATATTTTCAGAAAGGTTCGTGTGTGCTCTATTTGTACATGTCTACAATCAATTCTTTTAGGATGCCTGTGTGGCTCAGTCGGTTAAGCGTCTGCCCTCAGCTCAGGTTGTGATTCCAGGGTCCTGGGATTGAGCCCTGCATCGGGCTCCCTGCTCAGTGGGGAGTCTGCTTCTCCCCCTCCCTCTGCCACTCCGCCTGCTTGTGTTCTCTTTCTCTGTCAAATATTGAAAACCTTTAAAGGTTTTAAAAATAAATAATAAATAAATAAAATCAATTCTTTTACCTCTCTGGTGAGAATTATGGATCTAGAATTCTAGCATCAATTTTTTTTTTCTTCACACTTGGCTGTAGTGACTGAGCATTGAGTGTCGTTGATAAAAAGTCCTCCATTAGCATGATTCTTTTTCCTTTATCTTCTGTGTAGAAATCTAGTCCCTCCGCCCTTTTTTTTGTCTTCTGTCTAGAATATTATAGGATATTTTCTTTATCTTTGGAATGCAGAAGGTTCATTAGGTTGTATCAGATACCAAGGAGTTTTGGTTTAATATTGTTATTTGGCCTCATGGGGCCCTTTGCTTTGAAGAGCCAAGTCATTTTCACTTCAGGGATATTTTTTTCTACTACATACTAACATATATTCTGCCACATTCCACCAACAATCCGAGGAAGCTAACTGTAAGACTAATGGTAAAATAAAATAGAAGTTTGGTCAGAACCTTAAAAAGTGAATATATCTGTGGTAAGGGCCAGCAGTGTAGCCATGGGTGAGTCTCGAATTTGGCTCTGAGCTTTCTGGTTGGTAAAAAAATCATTAGTATCAAATTGACTTGTTCTTCTTTTGCAAGCATTTGAAAAAAATTAACTACTTCTAATTAATACAAGGTATGTGTAGTATTGTTAAAAAAAAAAAAAAAAAGGAGGGGCTCCTGGGTGGCTCAGTCAGTTAAGCTTCTGCCTTCGGCTCAGGTCATGATCCCAGGGTCCTGGGATCGAGTCCCACATCGGGCTCCCTGCTCAGCAGGGAGCCTGCTTCTCCCTCTCCCTCAGGTATCCCCCCTGCTTGTGCCCTCTTTCTCTCTCTCTGTAAAATAAATAAAATCTTAAAGAGAGATTCACCTGAAATTTTGCCAACCAACCATGATGAACCTTTGTTGATATTTTACTATTTGTCCTCTCAGATTGTGAGTATTTGAGTGTGTTTGTGCATGAGGGAGAGACATAGAGAGAGAGATTGATTATACAGACTGTTCTCAAACCTATTTTAAATTGTGAATGTCCTTCAGTTATTCAGCGCTCATTAAATAGAGGCCTGTGTCTCTGAAAGAGCTCTATTGTATTGTTAAACCATATCTTATTAAATAATATTCTGGAAATTTTAATTTCTAGTTTTTTTCCTGTTATTAAGATAGCTGTAGTGGCTCTAGAATACAAAGGTATAATATAAAGAGAAACAGAGAAAAGGTCCAGAGAATAAATAATTGTAGTACAAAGGCATGAGTATAACCATTAAAAACTCAAGGAATGTGAATTTGAAAATTCACCCAGGATTCTTTGAAAAACGATTCAACTTCATTATAATCAGTGAATTACAAACTAAAGCAATGGGATGCCATTTTCCCCTTACTGTATTACCCCAAATTAAGAAATACATATCCAGTGTTTTCCTATCGCTCTGATACCTGAGTATCTTTCGTAGGATGTTGATGGGTGTAATCTTTCTGCAGGATGGTCTGGCTTTATTAAAATCGAGTCCAGGTTTGGAAGTTTATCTTAAGGCAATAATTCCATAATTGTGCAGAGTTGCAAAGGTGGTATAAAGAATGTTTGTTATAACATGAGGGATCACTGGGAAGAAGAAAGCTAAGTGACTCTTAGAAGGGGATTTATTAAATTATGATTATGTTTCTGCTTTGAAATCTTACATTGCCATTAAAATGATGGTGTCAACCTTCATTTGTTGTCATGGAGAGAAGCCCACAGTTTTTTTGTAAGTGCACAGTAGGTAGGGGGAAGCGTAGTTTCAACCTATTTTTATTTTTTAAATAAAAGTGTTTTCTAATATCCAGAAAAATTCTGGTGAGCTAAATTCCACATCTAGCAATGATTATATTTGTGTGTCATGTGTATAGCTAAGTTCGATTTTCACATTTATAGCCTTCTGTATTCTTTATTTTTCTTACAATGATTATCTCTTTTTTAGTTAAGAAAATAAAAACTCTTTAAGAAAATACATTCATTCTTTTTGAAGCAATGACACCATTCCTTGCACTGTGTTCTAAGTGATTAAAAAGTGGACTGAAAATTATTCTCAAGAATGTGCTCTTCCCCCAATAGTCCCCATATCGTCACATGGCACCCGTCTCCATCGAGCTGCCCAGGCCAGAAGCTGGACATCATCCTCGAGTCCTCTCTTTCACGTACTCTGTACGTCCCATTCATAGGTGAAGGTACTTGTCATCTCTGTCTTCAGAACATCCCAAATGTGCCCCCCTCCACTGCCATGCCAGTGCAGACCGCCATCGCCTCCATCCAGTCCCCTGAGTGGCTGCTCTGCATCTGCCCACCCCGAATTACCGTCCATTTGTCACACTGCCACTGCGATCCTCTTTAAACAGACCTGTGCTGTCCTTCCTAACTAGCAGTGATCCTCTGAAGAAGTTCCAGATGTCCTCCTGTATCTTACAAGACCCTGCGTGACGCGGCTCCTGCCTACTTCTTGGCCTCACCTTGTAACACTGGCTTGTTCCCTCTTGCTCAGGCCACACTGGACAAATCTGGGTTCCTGGACAACTCGAAGCTGACTCTTGCCTTGTGTTCTTTCTGACTGGAATCCTCTTTACACCCACAGTTTTGCTTGGCCAGCTCTCATTATTTAGATCCCATCTTTAATTCTACTTCCTTATCACCCAGTTTAAAATGTCAGCTCGTTTACTCATACTGCACACCACCTTGTTTTTGTTTGTTTTCCTCATTCTTGTCACCCCCAGGACTCATCATCCCTAGTTTATTTGGCCACTTGGTCACTGTTAACACCCTGCTGCTAGAATGTAAACCTTGCAAAAACTGGATTCCTGTCTGATATGTTCCCCATACTCCTAATCTTGAGCTTTGCATGGCGGCTACTGAGTAAATAATTGCCTGAACAAGTGAGGGAATGGCCATCATAACACCACATACAGCACTTGGAGGAGTTCTAAAACAGCACTAATCGAGGCCCTGGGTTTCAGAGAGCTTTTTAAGACCCACAGCTCTTCCAGGTTTTACTTGTAGCTCCTCTGCAGTTTCCTCGTGGATTTACCTTGAGTGCACTGGTGACTGATGCAGGAGAGGGAGTTGAGGAGTAACACAACCCGCTGAACTCAGAAGTGCTCTGTCCCCTGCTGACCTGAGCTTTTTCCTAGAGCGGGCCTGGCTGCCCTTGTTGGAGGAGCTTCCCTCGGAGTTCACCCGAGCTTTCCTCAGACCCTCTCCACCCAGGCACGTCTCCCATGCTGCTTCTTTCTCTTGCCCTTTTTTCTTTTTTTCTTTTTTTTTAAAGATTGTATTTATTTATTTGACAGAGAGATAGAGAGTACAAGCAGGCAGAGGGAGAGGGAGAAGCAGGCTCTCCGCTGAGCAGGGAGCCCAACACAGGGCTGGAGCCCAACACAGGGCTCGATCCCAGGACCCTGGGATCACGACCTGAGCTGAAGGCAGCCGCCTCACCGACTGAGCCGCCCAGGCGCCCCATCTCTTGCTCTTTTTTTCTCCCCATCCTTTCTTAAGAATTCGGGAACTATTTGTCAGCAGTCCTTGTATATTTTGGTGTCACTTTTCTTTACTCTCAGTGCAAGGGAGACTTACCCATTTTGTTTATTTTAGGTTGGGAGCGCTTGTTTGAAACTACAGTTTCTGAAGAAGAAAATCAGGAAGTAATGAATAAACTCCTAGGTGACAGTCCTTTTGATTTCAAGCCAGGGAAAGCCTATATAAATGAGGACAAACTAGAGAAGCAACAAGGCAAAAAGAACAAACCTTTCAGGAAAGTCTTAGTCACCATCAAAAACACCCACATGAGGGAGAGGAGCTTTACAAGTATTGAGCTCGGGAAAAATGTCAGTCTGAAATCATCCCTTATTAGAAAACCCAGACTCGTTTCCAGAGGAAGGAAACCCCATTCCCAGCAGTATTCAGTTCTCTTTAAACAACTGGGAGTCAATACGGTGCGCAAATGTTACAAATGTAACCTCTGTGGGAAAATCTTCCTCCACAGTTCTTCCCTGAGTAAACACCAGAGAATCCACACCGGAGAGAAGCTCTACAAATGCAAGGAATGTCGGAAAGCTTTCAGCCAAAGCTCCTCTCTCACTCAGCACCTGAGAGTTCACACGGGAGAGAAACCTTACATCTGCGGCGAATGTGGGAAAGCCTTCAGTTTCACCACATCCCTCATCGGACATCAGAGGATGCATACCGGAGAGAGACCCTATAAATGCAACGAGTGTGGCAAGACATTTAAAGGAAGCTCATCCCTGAATAATCACCAACGAATTCATACTGGAGAAAAGCCCTATAAATGTAACGAGTGTGGGAGAGCCTTTAGCCAGTGCTCATCTCTTATTCAACATCACAGGATTCATACTGGAGAGAAACCCTACGAATGTAGTCAGTGTGGGAAAGCCTTTACTTCAATATCGCGGCTAAGTAGACACCATAGAATTCATACTGGAGAGAAACCCTTTAATTGTAATGAGTGTGGGAAAGTATTCAGTTATCACTCAGCCCTTATCATACATCAGAGAATCCACACTGGGGAGAAACCTTATGCATGTAAGGAATGCGGGAAAGCCTTCAGCCAAAGCTCTGCTCTGATACAGCATCAAAGAATTCATACGGGAGAAAAACCCTACAAATGCAACGAATGTGGGAAGGCCTTCTCCTGGATTTCACGGCTTAATATACACAATAGAATCCATACCGGAGAGAAACCGTATAACTGTAAAGAATGTGGAAAAGCCTTCAGTTCTCACTCAGCGGTTAATACTCATCGAAAAATTCACACTGGAGAGAAACCTTATAAATGTAATGACTGTGAAAAAGCCTTCAACCAAAGCTCAGCTCTCATTCAGCACCAGAGAATTCACACTGGAGAGAAACCATTTAGCTGTAAAGTATGTGGGAAAGCTTTCCGACAAAGCTCATCCCTTATGACGCATATGAGGATTCATACGGGAGAAAAGCCGTATAAATGTAAAGAATGTGGGAAGGCTTTTAGTCAGAGCTCATCCCTTACCAATCATCAGAGGACTCATACTGGAGAAAAACTATAAATAAAACACATGTGGTGGAAAGTCTTCCAACTGAAGTTCATTCCATACTCAATTTCGAAAAATTCATCCTGGGCAGGAAGTGATGAAGAGTAGTTAATTGTGAGTTAAACTTCAGAATGTAGACCTCCTCAGACATCAGAGACTTCATGATGCAGGTAACATTAGGTGTATTAGGAAAGCTTCTATGAAATGGGTTTTTCATAGTTTTTAAGTTATTACTGACTATAAGGTAGAGAATGTGTAAGATTCTTTTATCTTCTCCCTGGTGACGTGCAGTAAGAGCCCCCAGCTTTTGCAAGCGTCCCTGGGAAGCGTGTTGATTTGTGTAAAAGTGTAGCCATAAAATCCAGACTTTAGATTAATCTAGGAATCTATTTTTTGAAACGACATTTAAGTGTTATGCAAGCCAGTTATCCTAAGAAGAATGTTTTGGAGAAGAAATGTAAGCAGGTGACCTGTAGCTACCTCACTGTCGCTAAAATGTGTTCTTTAATAGTTTAAAGGCAAATCGTGTACTTGGTGGTTGTGAAAACTTTTTGGATTGTTTCTTCTTTGCTTTCCAAGCCATTTACCTGAAAAGAAAACCACTCTGTAAGCTCTGCAGGCATACGGGCCTGTGAGTTTTCTCCCTGACGACTTGTTCCCAACTCTGAAGCAGATCTAAAGTCACTTTATTTTAAATCACAAAATGCATGGTATTTCACTTGGTTTTATCATAAAGTGATTACCTTTGCTGTGTGAGGTTGAGAATTAAAGGTTATTCAGACAACTACTGCTTTTGCAAGTTACTCCACTGGTAAATGTTAGTGATGACCTTACAGTGTAAGATGGGAGCATGCCTCTTGGCACCCAAGGCTTTGCCTGCTTCATTGAGCTCCCTGGTTATCATCCAGGAAGGCCCAGGAAGAGAGTGGATCACCATTCGTCCTAGCTGCTGGTAAAGTGAACCAGGTAACTTTCACTCCCTCCCACAGTTTGAGGGCCATGAGACAGAAATTCAGACTCTAAGTTCAGTAAATGGGCTGTTAGATGCTTCAACAAGTTAGCACGTTTCAGCATTTCTAAAATGTGAATAATAATTCGGCAATGTAAAAAGTTATCTCCCAAGTCAAACTAAAATTGTTGAACTTTACGGAGCAACATCCTTTAGTGTTGTCCAGTATCATCAAGAGTGGGCAAGCACTAAAGGACTGAACTACCTATTTTGTTTAAAAAAAAAAACAACAACAACAAACAACTAGTTTCTTCCTTTTGTCAAAGAGTTAAAAAAGTAATAAAAATACCTCAGAAAAGGTACTATTGGGGGTGGAGACTGAGCTAAAGCAAAAATCACCGAATTCAACTTTTGCTTCCTGGGACCAATTAATCAGTCTTACTGTTCCAGACTCATGAGGAACAGACTTTTGAGTCATGTAATCCTCCACTGCTGTGCCTTTTTCCCCACAACCATTCTTTTAAGTTCTCTAATTTCTGAGAAAATGTCTAGGAAAATATAACTTCCCTGTCTTGGTCCACTTAGGTTGCCATAATAAATACCACAGCCCTGGGTGGCTTATAAACCACTGAAACTTCTTAAAATTCCAGAGGCTGGGAAGTCCAAGATCATGACGCCTGCATGGGTGTGTTCTGGTGAGGATCCTCTGGTTCCTAGCTGGTGCCTTTTTGGAACCTCACATGGCGGAAGGGGTGAGGGAGCTCTCCGAGGCCTCTTATGAGGGCACTGATCAAATTCATGAGGCTCCACCCTCATGACAGTCACCTCCCAAAGGCCCCACCTCCTAATACTATCACCTCTGGGGTTAGGGTTTCAACACGAATTTTGAAGGGGCACACATTCAGACCATTGCATCTCCAAGTAACAATATAGTCCTAAAAATAATCCCCCCAAATAAATCTGAATAAAGTTACACAAAGAAAATATCAAGCCCAGTTATTTTTATGTTGTGGTCTCTCAAACTTGCAAGTAACAGGCCATTTGAGTCTTACGCAGGATCTTCCAGAGGAGATCGTGTACAAGCACAATGATTCCAATATAACCCAGTACCAAAATTGACAAGGAAAGTACAAGAAATTAAAAAATGCGGGCCTATATCATCCATGAACAAAAATGTAAAAACCCTAAACAAAGCAAATGTAATCCAGAAGTACCTCAACATAGTTAATGCATCATGATAAATGCAGATTTTTCATGGGAATTGGCGGGTTATTTAGCATTAGGAAACTTACAGATGCTGTGTACCACCTGGGCAGGTTAAAGATGCAAAATCCATATGTTCATCTCAGTAAATGCAGACAAAGCAACCACAATACTCAGCACCCATTCATTTAAAAATTCTTAAGCAGAGGAGATAGTTTACCTAACCTGGTAAAAGGGTTTTTACCAGAAACCTGCTGGAAAAAATATTAATGTTAGAAGTAGTCATGGCAGGAGGAACATACGGAAAGAACAGATTATTCAATAATAAATAATGGCTGAGAAAAAATGGTTCATCCACATAGAAAAATTGGATGCCTACCATCACCACAAAAAGAATTGTGTGAAAGGCAAAATTGTATATCTTTTGGAAGAAGATGTAAAGAAAAACTTTGTGACCTCACAATAGGGAAAGGATTTTTTTTAAACAGGATACAAATAAGCCATGAAATCTTTTTTTATATTTGCTCACATTAAAAAAAAAGAACATCTGGTTATCAAAATATACCAAAATGGAGATGAAAAGTCAAGACATAAAACAGGAAATCTTTCCACAACATTTTTGACAAACGCTTACCGTCTGGAAAATTTAAACACTTTGTACAAATCAACTTAAAGAAAAAAAAAAAGACAAACTTGTAGGGAAAAAAGTGGTCCAAATATACATGACTACTTATTTCACAGAAGAGGAAATACAGATTTTTAAAAAACATGAAAAGATGCTTAAAAATGGAAATTAGAATCACAGGATTTTATGAGATTTTATGACTTTTTAAATAGACCTTATTTTTTTAAATTTATTTTTGATTTTTAAGTAGGCTCTATATCCAACGTGGGGCTTGAACGCACGATCCCATGATCAAGAATCACACACTTCACTGACGTGGCTAGCCAGGCACCCCAAATTTCATGGATTTGTTTTGTTTTGTTTTTAAGATGAGTAAAAACAAAGATATGTGACATTACTGAGTTTTGGGATGTATGTGGAGTAACTGGAATCCATCACTGTGGGAGTGTAAATTGATAGAGACCATTGGCATCCTATAAAGTCGAACATGTCCTATGTATATATGATAGATAAATGTGTGCATATGAGCAGTACGAGACAGGTATATAAAGATATTCTTAGCAGCACTGATCATAGAAGCTAATGTTTGGAAGTAGTCTGAATGTTAATAGGAAAACGGAGAATTTTGGAATGTTAACAATGTAGAGCAGCAGGGAGAATGAACCAAAGCTATAAGCAAACACAGATGAATTTCAAAGCCTGTTGACTTTTCAAAAGTCAGAGGAAACAACATATGGTATAATATGTTCTGCAATATTAAATTGATTCTAAGTGATTTATACATGTGGTAAGACACTAAAAATAGCAAGTGGTTGGATGACAAGATAGTCTAGCTATCCCTTCCTGTGTAACAACTCATCCCCAAGTTTAGTGGCTTAAAGCAACAATTTATTAATGCCGTTGGTTGCATATTTGGGTTCAGTTGGGGAATTCGTACTTGGTGTCTCTAATGCATTTGCAGTGGGCAGCTGCCGCTCCTCTGAGCTTGGTGTCCAGGGTGGCGGGCACCCAGTGATGGCCACTGCTGAGAGCCTGGTTGGGCTTCACACAGAAGGGTGGCTGGTTCCTGAGAGGCAGTGTCCCAAGAGCCAGCATCCTAGAAGATCTACATTGAAAGTGTAGATCTTAGAACTCTGCTTTAGAAGCCACATGACATCAGTTCTGTATTCTCTTGGTGAAAAATGGTTTATAGATGTCCAGATTTCAAGGGGAGAAGGTGGTAACCAGGGTGTGAATACCAGGGTCGTGGTTCGTCATGGGGACCATATTTGGAGACTAGCTACCATACGACCACACAATTCAGGTTGGTGATTACCTCTGGCTGTGAGGCAAGAAAGTGACTTGGGGAGGAGCCCGGGGTTCCTCAGCTTGCCTGATGCCTGAGAGACCCTGCCTTCTCAGGAAGAGGTGGCCCAGGCCAGCCAGAATGAGGATCAGTATTCCTACTGTGTGTGTATATCAGTAAAAATGATTAGAGTTTTTTGGCCCAACTCTTAAACTGGATCATTTGAGGTAGGATAAAACACATCTTACTGCCTGATCACCCTAGGTGAAGTGCACATCAAGTTTAAGAGGTTGTATCCAAGGGCCATTTCAAGGTCATAACATTTTTTTTTTTTTTAGAAGGGAGTGAGAGAGCAGAGGGGGGCAGAGGGAGAGGGAGAGAGAATCTCAAGCAGACTCCATGCTCAGCGTGGAGCCAGACTCAAGGCTCAATCCCCTGAGATCATGACCTGAGCCAAAACCCAGAGTCAGGTGCTCACCCAACTGTGCCCCCAAGGTTATAACATTCTTCAGGCCACTGTTGAATTTAAACATGTCTCCTTAAGAAAACTATCAACACCTCCCTTTCCTGTGTATACTTTCCCTTCTCATTCATCTCCCTAGATCACCAGAAGAAGAGAGATTGGTTCCTACCCTGAGTCAGGAAACAAACTAAACTAAAAACATGTGCATAAGAGGACTAGGCAAAGAAAGACTCATCATTGAGTTGTGAACATATTCGCCTTGCCTGGTTTCTCTTATTCTCAGAGGCTTGTTCAGAATCTAGGCAGAAAAGAATACTGTCTATTTTTATAGCTTCCTCATAGGCCATTTTCAAAACAACCTGAAAAAGAATATGCTTTACCTTTTGTGATATGATTGACATGCCTGATACATTGAATTTATGGTGTTCATAGTAATTAAATTATTATTTAAAATGTCCACCTTTTCAGGTGGG